AGATGCTGGGTAAACATTTTTTGGCAGCTTTGCACAGTACTTCAGTTAAGGGTGGATTTATCAGTTCATTTCTTCTTACCTGCCAGTTTGTTCCTATTTATAACTTCAGAARGAAATTCAGAAGGTAACATTTTAGGAATCCTTTAACTAGTTAACTCTCTTTTCTCCTTCTTCTCCTGTTTCCTCTAAAATACAAACAAAAAGTCCCAAAGCAGTTTTAGGGAGTGACCAAGATAGGTCTGGATGTCCTTGAGATCTCATCAGACAGTACYGGCTTCAGCTGGATTCTCTGTGGTTGGATTCCCAGGTTTTGGAGCCCCGTTTCAACGTAGAAACCATGGCACAGCTGCTGAACATCCCACCCAACAAGACGCTGCTGCGGCGCCACTTGGCCACTCATTTCAACCTCCTGGTGGGGCAGGAGGCCCAGCAGCAGAAGCGCGAAGCCATGGAGTCYCCAGACTACGTCCTCCTGACAGCAACTGCCAAAGTAAAGGTAACAGGCTACGTGTTCTGGGAGCTGTGTGAGATGCCAGGGAGGCATTTGGATCTCCAGTTTTATCTGTGTTGGCAGGGCGCTTCAGTAAGGTCTGAGAAAAAGATTCCTAAAGGTTCCTAAAGGAAGAAGCATTGAGAGCAGAACCTGGCAGATCTTGGTTTGAAACTTATGTCTGTCATGAACAGGCCACTTCTCAGCCTCTCTAAATGCACAGACAAGAGGTAGCACTTGTGTTATCCTTCTGTCTGTACTGAGAGATGTTTGRGAGGGAGACTGTCCCTTACTGTTTAATGTAGTTAATTAACGTGGTTAATTAATGTGGAATTTTCACCTCATTTGGGAAACCTCACTGTTAAGTGATGGTGTCTTAACAGTGGTAGAATGAGAGGACACGTCCTCCCCATGCCACTGTCATGCATTTCAGAAAATCTGTGTAGAAGGGCACTGGGATTTTCACCCTTCATCATGGAAACACCAGAGTGCATGAGTAGGCCTGTTAATTATTTGCTGATTCTCYAACTCCTTGGCAAATTTCTCTTCACTTTTAAGCCAAAGAAACTTACCTTCAGCAATTTTGGGAGCCTGAGGAAGAAGAAGCAGGATGATGTGGAGGAGTATGTGTGTCCTATGGAGCTGGGGCGGGCATCTGGAAGTGGATTGAAGAAGGGCTTYAAGCCTGGCCTGGACATCCGAGTATATGATGATGATGATTTGGACAGGCTGGAGCAGGTAAGCCAGTTCTAACAATTCCAAGTCTATGTGCTGTCAGGTTTGGTGGAACGCCCTTCCATATCCCAGGGAAGCCTTCCTTTGCTTTGGCCCGTGAAGGTCCTGACTTCTTGCTGTCACACAGCATTACTGGCAAAAGGGTCTGGTCCCAGGGAGGTTGGAGCTGTGAATGCAGCAGCTTTAGGGCCTGCTCTGGAGTAACTCTCCTCTCCTGACAGGCCACACTTCTCCCTTGTTCTGAGCATCTCAGCATAATCAGTAAAYGGTGTGCTGCACTTAACTGCCACTCTGTCATAGCAGGACAAGGGGCAATGGCTTCACACTGTCAGACAGTAGGTTTTTATATTAGTAGCTTTAGGATATTAGAATAAAGTTCTTCCYTGTGAGGGTGGTGAGGCCCTRGCAYAGGTTGCCCAGAGAAGCTGTGGCTGCCCCATYCCTGGMAGTGYCCAAGGCCAGGCTGGATGGGGCTCTGAGCAACCTGGGATAGTGGAAGWTGTCCCTGCCCATGGCAAGKGGATTGGACYAAGATGATTTTTAAGGTTTCTTCCAATCCAGTCCATTCTATGATACAAATAATTTATTAKTAATTCATGATTCATTCTTTGTTTTTTATAGATGGAAGATTCAGAAGGGACRGTGAGGCAAATAGGAGCATTTTCTGAAGGCATCAACAACTTGACAGTAAGTCTGTAAATGGGGTCTATGGAGTAAGATCTGTTTCTGTAGGATGGGTGGGAATCCCTTGGCAGTCACTTTTGTTAAACAGGGTCAGTGAGGTCCTTTGGGTCTTCTGCAGGGACAGAGGGCACAAGAAAAATGAGTGGTTCAGGAAGGTACCTGCCCATCCTGCTGGGGAGGTTTAGGTTTGGTGGCCTGTGCTGGCTCCCCACACACCAGGGAGAGCAGGGGACACATTGCCCATGGTCAGAGGGTATCCAGGTGRGGGTCAGGGTGCATTTTCTGGGTGGAAGCCCCCAGCCATTGGGCCAGCAGACAGCAGTGAGCTCGTTTTGCACCGGGGTGGGTGAAAATCTCCCTCAGCAGAACAAAACAGTGGCTGGCAGGAAGTGTTTGCTGCCCAGCACAGGATGGGACCATCCCAGGTGACTGACTCCAGTTGTGAGAAGCCTTGAATCCTCCCTCCTTTCCTTTCCAGCACATGTTGAAGGAAGATGAAATGTTTAAAGACTTTGCCACGCGCTCTCCTAGCACCAGTATAACAGATGAGGACTCCAACGTGTGACAGTCACCACCAGGCACTGGCAAAGGCTCGCTCTCCTGTGTGCAAGGACATCTCCGTCCCACGTGATGGGCAGCAGATCATGTACTTTACATTGCTCTTGCTTCTSTTTGTTAGAAGTGACACTGAGGGGTGGCGAATTTTAAAGAGAAAAGGAGAAAAGACAAGGTGCCTACTCTAAGTTGCCATAAAAACCACCCAGACACTGGTGAATGGKAATCGTTTTAACTCTATTTAATGTACAAACTGGTGATATGTTTCAGAGTGTTGCATTTAAATTGACGTGGTATGATAGTGCTCCTTTTGCTTATCCCTGGCCTCAGATAATCCTTTTTACTGTTTGAAAAGAACAGAAGATGTTAGGTAAAAGTATTGCGTCTGTAGATACCGCACATCAGCTCTCTCTGCRCTCTCAGCTGAAAAATAAAGGTTACTGCTCTTTGGCACAAACACCAGTTCAGCCCTTCCTACAGYATCCAATGTAGGATTTTAGTCATCCGTGCCCTGCGTAAGCTCCCCAGTAGCTCTTGACTGTTRCTCCTATTTTTTATACTGTTTTATAAGAAAAAATAAAAAATTAAAAATAAGTATATGAAGTACATATAAAAGCAAAAATTTAAATTTTGTGAGGTAGAGTGATGGAAAGTTGAAGGTGTGTGAGGGAAGGGGAGAAGGTTGTAAAAAAATTATGCCAGTTTGCAAACCAGCTGGTTACTGGGAAAGGCAGGCTGACCTTTGAAACTGTTTGCTTTCGTTGCTTTTTACTGAGTGCACAGTTAATGATCTTCCATTTGAGATGAAACAATTCTAAAGCATGTTTCTTCTAGCAGTGACTCATACAGAAACTGCACATTTTAAAATGTCTTCTTTCTTGTCCCCAGCAGAAGTAGTTAGTGCATTCAGCAACATTATTAACACTTCCATTACTTAAAAAATTTCCTTTGAGAGTACTCCCTGCATATGGACGGGATATTTCTGTGCTGTGACTAATGTGAAGATGGTGTAGTTGCAAAAAAAAAAAAAATAAAGTTATATAGAGAAATGTATAGGAAATATATTATTTCACATTATTAAGCCTAAGGTGGGACTTTTCCTCCAAAATTCAGATATCAAACATGTTGCTCATCATTTTACCTCCAAAGCACAGCTCCTCTGCTCTTGAGGATCATCAGATTTTAAAATTCCTAACTATCCAGTGGAAACCTTGTGTGAGACTTCCGGTATTGCGAGGTGTCCTAGCCAAAAGCAAACAAACAAAAGTAACTTTTTATGACAGTGGTCMTTTGTATGGTGTTGAATGTTGCATGTATTTTAGCACAATGGCATGAAGCTGCTTTGCTCTGTGAAGGCAAACCAAAGTCCAGCTGGAATTGTTCCTTGCAGTGGTGTTGCTTTGCCAAGCGTTTGTCTCTTGTTTTGTTGCTCTCCTTGCTGGAAGTGAGACCATTCCTGGTATCGTGCAGGGGATTTGAGGTCTGTGCTGACTTTGTGGGTGTTTCTAAAACACTGTTAACAAAGCTAGGAAGGGAAGAAAGGTTCTTCCCAGGATTTTCAGGGAACTCCCCTCAGATCAGAGGCATATTCCAGCATTATAAAGATGTAAGCTGATAACCTGGACCTTTGAAGGATGTGCAATGTCGGTGATTATTGATGTACCAAGATGCAAAATTTAATGTGGGCAGGTTATATTGCACATTATATCAAACACTGCCATTTTCTGTTCAGTAACTGGAGCCAGGCAAACAAACCATAAAGTCTACATAAAATACTTTTTGCCACTGCTTACCATTTATCTATGAACAGATCATACTGCTTTGTACAGTTTTCCTGACTGATTCCTGTCCGTGAACAATTTGCTGTCTGTTGTTTCTCCCTCTGCAGYTTTGGGGGTATTTGAGGTATTTTATCGGGGCAGAAATACCACATAGTGTAACAACACCTGCTGTCAGCTTTAGGGTGCAAATGCTTGGGATGTGGATTCAGGCCCCCCTTTCTGTGAATACTCTGCAATATTGTTATTATTTACGTGTGGAAGCACTGGGAAATGTGGTGCAGGCTTCCAAATAAAAGTATTCCTCCAGATGGCTCTCATTAGTCACTGGCTACTAAACAGGACTGGATATTCATGGGGGCGGGGGAAAGGGAGCTAGTGACACAATACTGTGCTGAAATAGCCACAAACACTCTTCAGTTTCTCTGGAGTGTCATCAGTGAGGGTTTCTTCAAGTCCAGTGTAAGCTGCACTCTGCTCCAGGCAGCCCTTGGAGCTRCCTGCCATCTGAACCCTGGTTATCTTATGGGGTGGGGACACGAGAGAGGGGATGAAGTCAGGAGGTTTTTATGTGCYGTCAGGGTGTTAAATTGGTGCCTGTTTGGAGAGGGCAACGTAACTGCTGTGTATTGCCATGTGARATCCAATAAAGTCTGTGGAAAATTCCTAGTGTTTCTGGAAGCTGGTTCCCTTTTTCACATATCCTTATTTTTTCTTTCCTTTTAGTTCTCCTAGGAAGCTTGTTTTGTTCTATTTAAMAAACAAAGGAGGGAAAGGGGGCAAAATCACACATTTTTTTGTTGACTCATTAGTTCTTTTCTCAGTAGTGCCTGCAGCAAGGCTCAACTAACACCTAAGAAATCAACTATATTGACACTTTTTAGTTACTTCTGGGATCCAGATTTGAACCGTAGTGAGTTTTTTGGTGCAGTGAGAAGTGGCATCATCATTGCTTGGCATGTGCTCCACAGGAAGCCCTCACAGGGTGCTCTGTTCCTTCTTCCTCCTTCTTCCTCCTTCTGGGACTCTCTCTGATTCCAGATGTCATTCCTTTCTCTGGGAGATAAAAAGGTGGTTTCATCTCCAGGCAACATCCTGTGCCAAAAAAATATGGTTTCTCTGCAATAGTCCTAGAAAGGAGATCCAAGAAGGTRAGATCAGACTGGAATGAGATAACATCAGCCAAAGAAATGGTGCCGGAATTAACAATAAGGAAAACAAGCACAGATGAATTCAGTAGGTGTGAAAGCTACAGGGCCTGTTGGGCTGGTCCCTGCTCAGTCAGCTGTGGAGAAACACACCCAGGAGCAAGCCAGGCTGCCCTGCGGGCTCACAGAGCTCAGCGCTGCCATCACCTTCGCCTGGAAGGCTCCAGGTATCCGTGTGCAGCTCAACAAGTCTGGTTGAGCCCAGCACCTGCACAGCCTTCTCCGGAAAATAAAGGTTCTTCCCTGAGACAGTCTGCATGTGGAAACGACCTCCTCCGGCACAGAAAATGGGCCAGAAGGTCTCCCAGGAGGACAACCAGGAGAACAAGGCTGAAACACTGGTCATGTGTGAAGTCTTCAGCCAGGGCGTGCTCCACGCATCTCAAAGACTAAAGGACTATCTCGGTTTTGTGGATCCTCAAAGCAAATTCCAGCCAGCCACRAACACGCTGAGCGAGATTTTCCTGGTCAACTTCATCAGCTTCTGCGTGGGAAAGGGCATGGAGGAGCGGATCATGACCAGCAAAATGACCAAGCAGCAATCCTCTCTGTTCGGGGTGGACTGGATCTGGACTCTGTGTGGGKCTGACAAGCAGATCAAGCTGCAGATCGCCGTGCAGGCTTTGCAGCCGGCCGAGCTTTTCCAYGGCGAGGGCCCTGCCGAGGATTGCTGCCGGGAGGCCGCGCTGGCCGACGAGTGCTTCCAGAACATGAGCAGGTTTGAGAAGCTGGCCCAGTTCTGCCGCCTGGTGGGACGGGACTGCCTGGGCTTGTTCGTCATGTTCGGCGTGCCAGGGAAGCCCAAGGACATCCGAGGAGTCCTGCTGGACAGCGTTGCCAAGGAGGAGCAAAAATGCCGCCTGTCGGGCAGGAATGCACTACGGCAATTTGTCACCGRCACTGACAGCTCCCTGCCCACAAAAGACATGCTGGAAAATTGCCTGGGCACCAAAAACGGGCTGAAGGACGTGGGCAACGTGTACATAAACTTTGTGTGARCAGCTGGGCAGGAGCAGCGTCTCCATGCAGCACCGGGGGCTGCGTGGGGCTCATCTGTGCCTCTCTCTTTCCTCCCCACACTCCATTCCCTCCACCTTCCCCTCGACCCATCGTGTTCCCTGAGCTTCTGCAGAAGCCAGGCTGAGTCAGCCTCTCCAGCTTATAAAACAACAGGACGGACCTGCCAGAGAAATGTGTTTATAGAAGGCACGACGTTTTTCCAGAACATTTTGTTCACCAGACATTAAGTCTTGGCTGGAGMTGCTGAAAGCTTGATCAACCAGAGCTCTGGGGAGGTCCTGGTAGATTTGACTCACAGCCTTTGTTTGCTGTGTGGCAGATTTTTTTCTATCCGAGGAGGGTGTCTGTAATAATGAAAATGTGCTGGTGCTGGTCAGAAGAGTTGCAGTGAGTGKGAAGGACAATACCAGGCCTTAAAACAGCTGTTTTGGAAGAGTGAGCTGGTTTCAATTAAGAGAAAAACCCTTCACGGTGCTAGAAAGAGGCTCTGTGAGAGACTTATTAATTACCTGCCCCCTAATTCATGCCAGGCTCAACGGGGCCTTGGAGCTATGAACAAAAGGCAGGGCTGGGGCCAGCTGCAAAGCTGAGTGGCTGTGCCAGGGCAAGGTGTGGCAAAAGGTAGGGACAGAGGTTCAAGAAAACTTGGGAAAAATCGAGCAATCGGGACAAAACCCAGGCCTGATGTGGGTGTGATCTTTTCCTCTTCATAGCRACAGAGGCAGCTCCTGACCACTCACAGCAGAGAGCAAATCTGGAGGAGGCAAGATTATTTCACTTGGAATTTMTTTTCAGTAGCTTAGAAGCTGATGACATTTATGGGCTTGATTTATTCTATTTCCCTCAGCTTTTACTGGACTAAGTGAGGCTTTGGGGTTACACAATTATAATTACTTTCTTTCAGCYACTGTTAACCAGTGAAGGAGGACCTGATCCCTATTCAAACAACTGATAAACTCGCTTTGATTAGAGCTGTCTGAATAGTCTTGTCAGTGCAAAATTCAGCTGCCACTAATTTTCATACAAATGTAATCATTTATAATAATTAAAAATAATAAATAAATAAATGATAAATTAATAAATGATTAATAAATAAATAAATAATCATTTATAATAATTATAGAAATCATTTTGAAGACTCATTCATCTTTCACTATTTATTATTTGAGTTATAAAACGGGGGCAGCAATGAGAGCTGACAAACAGAGCCTGTTACTTAGAGCCATTAAAAAAGAACCTAAAGAGACTGAGGCATCAGTGCCACAAGTGTTTGTAGCATTCCATGGCAGTCTGAAATGGGAGCTGAAATAAGAGCAAACACAGAGAACTGTGACATTTTTGCTGAGTCACAAACATAGCTGGGTTTGGAGAAGAGTGGCCTTTCAGTCCTGAAACAGTTCATTGAGATGGAATTGTTTTCAAAGGGCTGCTGTCACTGTATTCTCTGTGTGTGGCTGGGTTTGCTGGGACAGAGGGGACCGTTCTGGTGTGTTGCATGAAGAATCTGCATAGCTGGGGGGATTGGGGATTGCCTGTTTGAACTAACAGGATCATCAATACTGCAGCACCATTGATGCTGGTTCATAAAAGATCTGCAGAAAACTTTAATTTTGCATTAAATTGGTATAACTAGTTTGACTTCAGCTATCTTGTTCTGTAGACAAGTTGGCTCACTGAAAACTGGGCTTTTTTTATGCTTTGCATGCTTTCTCAATAATAGAGAGGGAAGGGGAAAATCAAAATGTCTTGGCTGTATAGTTTGAACTATRGGAGTTACACACTGGGGCAGTTGTTGATTTGATTTGTGTCCTCCAAAGAGCTTTGCTACCTGAGATGTCACACATCTTGATGTGTTATTTTGGGAGCTGGGGTATGTTGCCCAGGCTGCACCACACTCTGGCTGTTTCCCTTGTRGGCTTTAGCTCAGGCCCCTGGGCCCTCAGACGTGGTGGGAATTGGCCAAGGCTCTGGATTCTGGCTAGCAACAGTGACAAGTATTTCACCATGTCAATCTGACCATGTCCACGTACTCAGCCAAGCTGGAGCCTCGGCYCAGGTGACTCACAGCCATCCCCAGGCCTCTGTGACTGCACGTGCTGATGGACCAGGTCAGGTGCAGCCCTCAGCCAGTGACATCCAGGGCAATTTGTGTGGTAACATGAGTGAAAGCAAAGTGAAGGGCTTGACTTTTTTTTTTCTATTTATTTTTTTTTCCCTTTGGACGTCATTTGCTAATGTACAGTTTAGGGTCGTGTATGGTTTGCCCATCCTCCCCAGGTGATCCATCACCAGTTCATCCCTATTTTCAGTCCCCCCCCATTCCTGGGGGATAAGATCTCTTCCTCCCTGCTGTGCAAACATTTCCCTTCCACTGCTGCAAGGACTTTGTTTCTATGGTTGGTTCTGCAAAGCTGCCCTGAGTCCCAGCCTCTGCACCAGCACCAGTAGGCAGGTGGAACTCACCTATTTCCAGATTCAAATCCCTTTGTCATTCCTGCTCATTCCTAGGCACTGAAAGCTCATTTCAGCTATTCAGAGACAGCACTAACTGGTCCATGGATTTAAGGAAGCAGCCAGACTTTGGGAATGTGTGTTGCCATTCTCAGCATGTCCAACAAGGGGGGGACAGGAGGAGGACAGGGAGTTGTCACTGCTCATGGGCTGCAGGGGACACCTGCACTGAGGAGGAAATGGAATGGGAATGGAAATGGGAATGGGAATGGGAATGGGAATGGGAATGGGAATGGGGCTGCCTCAGGTTGCCCAGAAAGGTCGTGACTCCCCATCCCTGGAAGTGTCCAAGGCCAGGCTGGATGGGACTCGGAACAACTCTGGCTTGTGAAAGGTGTGTCCCTGCCCATGGCAGGGGGYGGAACAGGATGAACTTTAATATCCTTTCCTTAAACCCAAACCATTCCAKGGTTCCAAAKCCTTATTCCTGTGRTCCGGGCTCCAAGCCTTGAGGCTGATCTCTCCTCCTCCCATGCTCTGTGCCACACCTGCTCTGCCAGGGAAGGGGTGGAAGCAGGGACAGCCCTCAGAGAAAAACTTCGGGTCCTTTTTCCCTTTAATCCAACCCTTGTCATACATCCAGCCCCCTGTGAATCCTGCTCTGATCACATGACTGAAAATCTTCAGTATAAAAGATAGAGTTGCTTAAAAAGTGCTTCATGCAATATTAAAACACCTTTCCCAGCRGCACATGGTCGTATTGTCAACCCTTCCCAACAGCGTTCAAGAAATTGTCACTCTGATGGCAACTGGAACCCAAAGGGAGCTCTGCTGCCTTGAGTTTGGGCTGGGGGGTCATTGCTTTCATTCCCTTTGTTACTGCTCTACTTAGGGCTAAGAGCTGAAATAAAGCAGAGAGACTTTAATTAGCAGAATCCACCCTTTCCTGGCAGCACTTCATGATTTCTTGGAGCTCTGACTCCCCTCYGCTTTTCTGGAATGGAAACAAACCAGGCAGTTTGGATTTGAACTCCAAGCTATAGTTAAATTACAGTATTTAATTAATGCTGTTASAGTAGAACTAGTTTCAMAGAGGTAAGTGATATGAGTAAAAAGCAGATTAATTAATTAAAACAATGGATGTCCCTTATGGATTTGGGGCCTTTTTGCTTAAAAGACACTTCAGAATTTTTAGATGTGTTTTATTGCTGGTGTGGGTTTTGTTTGTGTTGTTGTTTCTTTTTTTTTTAAATTGTATTTCTAAAAATGCCTGTTTCTTGAGCTGACACTGCTCATACAGGCCCCCATTCCCCATCTGGACTTTTAGAATTCCATCAGGAACAAATGTGTACAGGGAGATCGCTGTGGTTTCGCAGAGGGCCCTGGAGCAGAGTGGAGGATCTCCCCTTTCCCACCGAGCCAAGACTATCCCTTCAGCTTTTGAAACYTYGCTTTCTCCTTGGGACAAACTGGKACTTCTGCAGTTCTTCYGCAGAATGAAGGAGAGGAGCGATCACAGAATCAAAGCCAAGGGATCAAAAAAGCTGCTTTATGGCTCCTTGCAGTGTGACTGGTGAGAGAACCTCCCTTTCACCAGTTTTGTGAGCAAATTTACCATGGGACCAATTTTGTTTCTTGTGTTTCTAATTGACCCTGTACCTCCTGCCCCATTCAAAGGTCATGAAACCCACAACACCCACCAGCTTCTGCTCAAGGTGTGCTCAGGGGTATAAACCTGATCTGGCAGACCTTTGCTCCCAGAAGTGCTGTCAAGGGGTGACATGGGACAGAAAGGTGTTCCCCCCTGCCCCGCCTTCATCCATGCCCCTACTCCCCGTTTTTTCTGGCTGCTGCAATGCACCTGCTGGTCCTTTCATCTTCTTCTTCCTCCCTTTCTTCCTTTGCTTGAGCTGTTGGAATGCCTCTGCAGCCTTCTGGAGCTGGGCAATGAACACTTGGATGTCATTCCAGAGTGCAGTTCATGACTTGCTGTGAGGACAGAAACCCAAGGGACTGAGGTGAAAGCGAGCCTGGGCYGCACATGGCTGGGAGCCTGAATCCAAGGGCCTGCTGCACTTCCTGGGAAAATGCACAGGAGTCTACAATCCACRCATGAAATGGAGATGAATGCATCCCTCTGCAAACACAGAGCTGCTGGCTGTGTGCTGTCCCTACCAATGTGACAGTGACCCCTGSTAATGGACAGCTGGAAAATAACCCAGGTGGGATGAGGAGGAGCAGACCTGGAATCAGCRGAGCTGCCTGAGGTCAGAGGACATTGGCACTAACCCAGTGATGGAGATTTGCTTTTGGCCTCCTTACCTTTATGCACAGCAGGTATCAGCTGGAAAAAACGGCCAAAGGATGCATTAAATGTCTGCTCAGCCCTTTGCTCCCTGTCTCCCTTCTCCCTCTGCTCCTGCCTATGGACTGTGCAGTGTCCTTGTTTCCCACCATTTCCTTTGCAATCATCTCTTGTGCTAAAGAGAAAAGGAGATATAGACCCCGGCCCGGCCGCACCTTCTCGCACCGAGAGGGCCAATGGCCACCGAGACAATTAACGGGGTTTAAATCCCCTCGGCTTCACCCCGCAGTCGCTCTGGGGCCCCGTGCACCTGTGCCGGCCCCGCCCTTCACACCCGTGCCGGCCCCGCCCCGCCCGCGCCCATAAATCCCAGCGGATCCGCACCCGCTCCGTTTTGTGCGGTGGATGTTCGGTTTGGGATGCAGCGGTACCATCGCTCGGAGCTCTGTGCGGGGCCCCGGACAGGGCACCGCTCTCGGCGCTGTGCGGAGCCCGAGGCAATGAGGTGGGGCCGGGACCGGAATCMARGTSTTGCCGGTGTCTGCTGCGAGTCCTRGGCAGAGCCCCTTCTCCCTTGACGGGCAGTATGCTGGTCCCGAGGCTGGAGGACGGAGGCGAGATTGCGGCTGAGATGGAGACGGGGATCGCCACTGGCGGGAGTGACTTCGCGACGGGCGCTGGGGCCGAGCCTGGCGCTGCTGCTTCGGCTGAGGCCGGCGCGGGGCTGGGGTCCCGCTCCGGGCACGGTCCCGCTGCGGCCGCGGGGAGATGGGGTTGTGCCGGTGCCGGGCCTGGCAGGAGAGCGGCGGTTCCCCGGAGCAGGCGCGGGATCGCGGCTGGAAGCGGGCGGGGCGGGGGGACCGCCTGTGCCGGCCCCGGGACCCCCAGACGCCGCCGCTCCCTCAGCTCTCCAGTTGCGGCGCCCCCTGGCGGACGCGGAGCGGCGGCGCTGCCTCWGGGCAGGGCACACCTCGCAGCCGCCGGTGCGCGCCCGCGGCCCCGTCCGAAAACCCCGAGGAGTCTGCCTCGCCCCGGCATCCCCGAGACCACCGCACCTCCCCAGGCCGAGCAGCGCCCGCCTCCTCCTCCCCCGTGCTCGCCGCGCCCCGGTGCTCAAGCGGGGCTGCATAGCCGCGGGTGGGAGGAGCCGCTCCGGGCCGGGCGCTGGGGCCGAGTGCGGCGCTGCCACTCCTGCTCCGACTGCGGCCGGAGTGGGGCTGGGGCACCGCCGGGGCTCGGTCCTGCTCCAGCCGCTCATCCAGCACTACCTGGCGAGAGCTGATGTCCTTCCTCTCCCCCACTTTCTTTGTGGCTCGAACTCTCCAGTGAAAAAACTTCCAGTAAAAACGGATTACTCTTTATTTCCAGAGCACAGGAGATTATGACTTGGAAAAACCCACAACGATCATCAAGTCAAATGATGAGAAGTGGTTGGCCCATCTGGGAATTGAACTCAGAATCTTGGCATTCTCAGCACCCTGCTCCAACCACCTGAGCCAGTCTCAGTGTCATGAGAAATGTCTTGCCTGAGAGGGGAATAGCTGCTGCTAGCAAGGTAATTCCTACATAAATGTAGCTCTTTCTTTCATGCTAATGCTACTTTCCATACCAACCCCTTGAATGGCTCTAGAGCACAACTGGCTGACACCTGACATGACAGCACAAAACTCTTACAACCCTGATTTCCTGCCCTTTCCCRGATTTACTCAACAGCTGTAATGGTGCTCCTCCAAATCCCTTTCCAGGGAGAAAAGACCAAGACAAGTCCGGAGGATTCATTTGGTCCATGGCAAGTTGTTCTGGAAAGCATCAGGGCTGGTCCTGCCTGCAGAGGGACGTTTCCTGCAGCTGAGTATTTACAGYCCAAAATCACAGCAGGTGCTGAGGCCAGGGCCACTTTCCTGGCTCAGAGTTGGACGRAGCCCTTGGCAATTCCCAGTCACTGCCACGAATGTTCCTTGGTGTTTCCTCCATGTGTCCCAGTTGGCCAGGAATGTAGGGTTGGAGGAGGCTGGGAGCCACAAAAAGGGGACCAGTACTACTTGTCCTTTGTATTTCCAGGGGAGGAGCTGTGTCTGCAGCATCCTGCCTATGGCATGCGTTGTGCAAAACACATATCCAGAGGATGGGCACTGGGATGCCCGGGCAGCACTTGAATGGACATGGATAAAAGCCTGCCTGTGGCTCCTCAGCCATGGAGATGCTTCATCCCAGACTTCCCAAAAATACCTCAAGGAACAGCTGGCACCTGGGAATGCTGGCACAKTTGCAGAAGGGCTCAGCCTCCTAGAGCTCCCACACACCCACCAGTTATGTCCCACCCACCCTGAATCCCTTCTCTTCCAGCCTGAGGACATCATYCATCAGCAGCRTTAAAGCCAAGGCAAGCTTCCCTCACAGAAATTACATCTCAAGCAATAGCCCTCAGAGATGCCTTAAAATAAAAGGTGGGATGAAGTTTTGTTTGGATTAAGCTGGGAGTTTTTCAGGGAGCCAGCTGGAACCACAGAACTGATGGAAGGCATTCACAGGTGGGTCMTACTGGAGGTGCACTGAAGGTAGATATGTGCATTGCTTTCCTCAGGAAAAAGAACTTCCGAAGGCCACTCCTGAGGCTCTGACACAAAATCAGGCTTCTGCACGGAGAGACATCCTCACCTGGGCAGAGGTGCTGCCTCAGCACAGGCCAGGAGTGTGTCTGACCACAGCCTTCCCCTGCTTTAAGATATCAACTGGAGCCTGGCCTCAGCGTGGGTGGAATCAGCTGAATTTCAGGGAACTCTGTCAAGTGCCACCAGGGACAGTGGTGGGGCTGGGGGATGAGAGTTATAAATAGCAAATTCTATGGAATATAAACCTGTCCTTGTCYCGATCCCACTAAGCTTCCCTGGAACCTCTGCTGCTTGACACAGCTGGYGTTAAAGCGGCAGCTTTGCATGAAAATATCCACGCTCCTTGAGGTACTATGAGGTTATTCCTGTGGGAGTTCAGCAGGGAATTTGGGGCTATGAGTATAAATCATGTAAGCTAGCAAAGCTGAAACTGAAACCCAAATCTGGGCATCACACAGAGAATAATCTTTGTGCTGCCTTGTCAGCTAAAGCCCCTGGGCTTGGAAATTTCAGCAGACAAATGYAGGAAATTATCTAAATCCCAGCAACCAGCACCCCCCAAAGGGACAATCCAAGTGCCAGGGTGTGAGTGSTCRTGTCCTGCTGCTGCTGCTGGAAGGACAAATTCTCCTCCCCACAGCTAGTATGGGCTGGATGGGAGCTGAGAGCCAGAGGGGCAGGAAAGCGGATCAGCTGCCCAGGAATCCCCAGGAGATGAGGCTGCTGGAATGTAATGTGAATCAACTGAAACCATTCTTTCCCTGGCAGAAGACAGGAGCCAAAGCAGATCCCTCATGGCCAGGCTGGTGGGCAGTAGTTGGATCCACTGTGGGGGCTCCCTGTGCCTGCCAGGAGCTCTAACTCTGCTTTTCCTACCAGCTCTTGAGCAGTGTCACAGCACTGTGAGGAAATTCAAATCCAAATAACCCCCAAATCCCACRGAGTGAATAAACCCAACAGAGAAATGCATTGTCCTAAAAAGCTTAATGATTTGTAAAAAAATGCTGTGACAATGCTGTAATGGGATTCCCAGGAACCTTAATGCTCTTGGTTCCATTTTTATGTATTTTTAGTCCCTCAATGGGCAGCTTGTAGAATTTATCCTGGGATTTAGAGGTTGTGTAGGGTTGGTTTTGAATTGACCCTTCACCTCTGGTTCCACTCTGTGCAAACACAACTTGGGCTGAAGTGGGTGAACTCATTATCCCAGCTTTCCCCTCAAAAATATCCCCTATKTATTTCCCTGTAGATAAAGTCAGATTTTGCCCCAAACTGTTCATGCCTCACCTCAATTTGCCCCCGAAGTGTCCATTCTGTTCCCCACAGGTGACCTGGTAAGGCCAGGCAGGTTCCTTTGCCTTTCTCCTGCCTCTCTCCAGCCTGAGGCTGCTCCTCTGCTCGCTCTCCATCCTTGTCCCATACAAAAGATCAGGAAAGGGGAAAGGTTTCAGAAAACATTTCTGCAATTAATGACTAATTATCTTCAATTCCCCAGTGAGAAGAACATGAACTCACAGCCATTAAGGCCTGATAGTCCCCTGCAGAGAGAGCTCAGCACACATCCACAGAGGCAAGTCCAGCATCTGAAAGAAAGAAAGAAGAAAAAGGTGATTTCTTTTATTTCAAAGGTATTTCAAGTTCTCAAACCCAAACCAACCTTTACTCTGGTTTTTGATTGGGTGAATCGTGAGTGGTGGGCACAAGTCATGTCACTCATGCTGATGTGAGTGATTCTTTCTGGKGGCAGAGCAGCTGATTTCCAAAGTTCACTTCCTGCCCCATGCCTGATGAGCACAGGAGAAAATCTCTTCCATGAAGGGATTTTGCTCCATCTAATCCCATTTGCTCAGTCTGTTCCATGTGGGGATTGCCAGGCTGGGGCTGTGCAGGCAGATGCAGCTCTCAGCGCTCTTCTGCTCCAAACATAACTCTGGGTTCCTTTGCAAACTGCCTATGCCATGAGGTTTTCTCCAGGAGAAATAATGGAATTGCTCATGACTGGTTAGAGATTAACTTATCACAAAGGGAAGTAAAAAAGAAATATTCCTGTTAGAGCCTTTGGGACTTTCTGGGCTGAATTGAGAATTGTACATTAATTCCCTGCAGTGCAAATACACAACAACCTCCAACACAAAGCCAATACTGTCAAGTGGGGTCTGACAGCAGCACTTTGACAAACTTCATTGTCATTCTTCTTTTCAGTGACTTTTGCCATCAAACTCTGAAGSTGACAAGCCCAAAAGCTCTGTCTGGCTGCTCAGGAACAAAAGGATACTCCCAGGGATGAGGCACATTCCCAGCAAACACTCCCAACACAGCAGAGGCACCACTGGAGCTCGTGTGTGGGGCTGGGAAGGGCTGCAGGACACAGCCCCAGGTGGGGTGGCAGTGACAGTGACAGCAGCAAATTCCCACAGTCTGATGGCACAACAGAGAGACAAAGGCCAGCAATGCCCACGGGAGGCACAGGTTTAATTCTGCTCTGGGCGATGCCACATCCCAGCAGGAAATCTCCAGGGAGCTGTAAACTCKCAGGGTGCACAAAATGCAGCATCTGTCCCCCTGATCCTGCTTAAACTCAGCGTGGGGGCCAACCCCCACAGGTAAACACTGACCTGACCTGGATCAGTCTCCAACACAGCCCCAGTTGTCACCTCCAACTTGCTCCTGGGGCTGCCACCATATTCCTAACGAGGTGGCAAAGGCCACTTTGGCCAGGGCTCTCTGTGTCTCAGGTATTGGGGACTACAGGGACCAGGGCAAGGACAGCTGAAACCAGGCACATCCCTCTGGATTTGCAACACTCTGGGGACAGCTGAGGACTTACCCCACACCAGGGGCAGGACCAGATGCCCTCCAGAGCCCATTGGGTTTGGCTGCTCAAACACCAAAGCTTTTGGCAAAGATGAGTTAAGTGGGCTTTCCTGTCCTGAAAGAGAGGAGAAAACAGAAAGTAAGTCCACTGTGGAAGTCAGAGGCTCCTGGCTTCCCCACTTCTCTTCTGATTGCTCACTGTAGGGTTTTATCCATAAAAAAAGAGAGGTGGCACCAAATAAATGTGCCATTTTCCATCATTTTTCCCCTACTTTTTTCATACATAAAAATAATGCCCATTTTTTCTTACTGYATTCTTTGCCTAATTTTAATGGAACTATTTTCATTTCAGGCCCCACTTTTGAGTTATTCACTCCTTTGCCATTGAACTTTGGACAAAGGAAGAGAAGGATCTGTTCCACACAGGCATCATCCAACTTGGATGTACCAACCCCAGCCYGTTCCATGCATGCTGCCTCATTTTCCCCCATTCTAGATTCTGGCTCCAATCCAGTCTGAGTTTTCTCCTTTTTTTTTTCATGTCTAGAAACAGGAAATTGTCCTGGTCAGGGTGTAAGACCTTAAACTGCACATTTATCTGGTGGGGGCTATGACTGAGATTCCAGCAGGGAACTGAAGCTGCTGCTTCACCACATGGTGTCAGCAAAAGAGAGAAAACACAAAATGTGYATCCAAAAACAAGTATAAAGTGATTCCTCCTGCTTTTAGTGGGACCAGGGCTAATTCTGCCCTGGAATGACAAAGAACTTCCCCAGACCTCCAGAGACCCCTTGAAAAACCAAAGGGAAGAAGGAAAGGAAAGATGAAAGGGGAAAGGGAAGAAAGGATGTCTGTCTTACCTACTGGGGACAGCACAGGTCCTCCTACTCCAGGGGACTGGGAATGTGGCTGAAGCCAAAAGTACCTTTCCAGGCAGGAGGGGCTTTCCTAAAGCACCACCTCTGGAGAGCAAAGGGCTATGGAAGAAATGGAGTGGGAATTTATAATAATAATCATAATGTTATTGGGAAAGAGCAACAATGGAAGCAACAATAATTCCAAGGGAGCAGGAGCAATGCAGTGATTTAAATGAGGTTTTAGTGAAACAGCATCTCCTGGGATTGCTAAAGGACCTTTTTACAGCTCCAGCTGCACCCCAGCCAGGGTGTGAGCAAGCACAGCTAYTTCAGCTTTAGAAKTCATGGATCTAACAGAAACAGATCTTGAAAAAMTAATTACAGGATGTAAGAAYCCCAGGYTTTAAATTAAACTACATTTGYTAGCTCTTGATAAAACTCATAAYWGCAGTTTCACACTACCAGTGCCTGAAGAGACCTGTCAGGGAAAGGTTAGGTTTTTTCTTCTCTGCAGTACAGCCCTATCCGTGAGATTTATGAAAGCAACAATGTTTAAAGTCAGATTTTTTGTTTAAAAGCATTGCACATTACCTGAGTTGCTGCAGAGTTCAAAGTTCTGCTGTTCACCTTACACTCCTTCCAGAAACACCATGAAAAACCTCACTGTTACCCATTAACAAGGTTACCCAAGAGCCCATTATTTATGTGACTTTCTCTCCATTGTACTAAAGTTCCCTGAGTGGTGTAGGACACCTTACTGATGTGGGGTCATGGACACTTAGAATCTGCAAATGCCAGGGAAGAAAACCACCCAGATGAGGTCAGCACTGCTAGATCAACTGACGAACTTTCCCACAAAACTTCTTASAATTTCCAAGGATTGTGTGATTATTTCCGATGTTTTTGACATGAAAACAAATGAAGAATAAAAAGTTATATGTAGTGCCCACATACCTGAACTTGTGTTCAACAGATCAGGCAAACTGARGCACTGTATTCTCTTCTCTCTCCCATTTAAGCACTTTTCCCAAAATAAAAGCACTTCACAAGAATGGACACGTATCATACACAGCTCTCAGGGCTCTTGCTGGGTTTTATGTTTCTTGGTTATTTTTTTTTTAAATCCTCAGTGTATAGCTGGTATAACCCAGCAGGAATTCCCCAGGACCAGAGGAAGTGCACCAGTAAAACTGGCTGCTTTCAAAGGACATGGTTTAGTGGYTCATTCCCCACTTCACTTACCTTTCCTCCTGGATCCTAATTCATCAGCAACAGGGAATAAAATTATCATATTCAGGGAAATCCTAAGTGACACACAAAACCCCTTCCAGCTGGTGATAACTTCCTGGGATTTCAGCACATTTTATGAATGTACATAAAGACAAAGTGAAATAGGCCTGAAATCAGGRTCTGGGGAAAAGCAGCATCACCACTTCTGCAAGAATAAATTCATTTYACTTTGGATCATGAACAGAAACACTGCCGTGAGCAGTCACTAAAATGACTGACTTCAGCCTTTTGTGCTTGTGAGTAAATCAAATTTTGCAATATTCTAATAAGTGTAARGTCCACAGCAAAGTCCAGAACTACAAAACAACACGGGAAGGAAACACAGGTTCAATCTCTGCTTTAGATCCACACAACAGCACTGTCCTTGATCATACACTACAAGGGAATCCTAAAAGCACAAAAGGGATCCTCCCTGCTTCCAGAACATCAGCTGTCAAATGTTCATAGAATCACAGAACTGTTTAGGTTGAAAAAAGACCTCTAAGATCAAGTCCAACTATAAGCCAGACTAYCAAATCCACCACTAACCCATGTCCGYAAGTGCCACAGCCGCACATTTTTTAAACACCTTCAGGAATGGYGATTCCTTCACCACCCTGGGCAGCCTGTGCCAATRCTTAATAACCCTTTTAGTGAACAGCTTTTCTCCAACAGCCAATCTAAACCASCCCAGGCACAATTTGRGGCCAGTTCCTCTCATCCTGTTGGGAGCAGAGCCTGACCCCCACCTGACCACAAGCACCTGCCAGGAAGCCGTAAAGAGGGATGAGGTCTCCCCTGAGCCTCCTTTTCTCCAGGCTGAGCATTCCCATCTCACCCAGCAGCTCCTCACAGGACTTGTGCTTGCAACAGGAAATGGAAAAGTTCAGTGTTCACGTATGGACACCTTTAGAGTTCATCCATGGAGGACATGAGGGTGTTCTGCAGCTCTGTTTGAATCCCCAAAAATACACATTAGCTTGGATTTACAGGGCCACCCCTGGGGAGCATCACACTGAGCTATCAAAATCCACAGGAGTTCTACATTCCTGTTTGTATCTTTTGGGAAGGAGCCTGGGATCTGAAAGGACAAGTACTTTGCATTTCAGTTCAGTATTWAATAGAATTGCCAGCAGACTAAGAGCAGAACATCAAAATAATATTTATTGACCTGATTTAACCACATCCTCCCATCACCTGCACCATGCCAGGAACAAACTRTCAGTATCTCACTGGAATTGTGTTGTTATACAAACACAAGTAAACACACACTAACCCAACTGTATTCAAAAGTATCTATTAATTTCACCAGAAATATTTACAAGTAACATTTTTTCTTGAAAAGACTTCTTTAAGCCAGAAAAAAATTCACAAATAGTAAAGGGAGAATCTAATAAATGAATCGAAAGTCACAATATTGGTCACCCACTGCAAAAGAATCAAAGTTACATTTTGGTTTTATTTTTTAGGGACAGCCAARAATCCAAAAATAGTGGTTTGACTCTAGACACTTATATAAATCTCATAAAAGAATTAATCTGCTCCTTCAGTAACAAGAGCTGCCCCATTTCCAAACTAATCCAGTCAAAAAACTGTCGAGGAAAGTCTGTATAATTTTATGTTATTTATGCACTCATTTATCTATGACCTACAGTATTTGCTGGTTTATTTAGAATTTATTTCTAGAATAGAAAAGAGAAAATGCATTTTACAATGSCAGAATCTCAAACTCTCAACTTTCATTTACACAAACAGATTTCTATCAGTTCTCAGAAAGTGACTATATATTTTTCCTATTTTGCTCCATGATATAGCCCAAAATTCAGAGAACCCAGA